GGGGGGGGCGGCTTGTTTTACAACGTCGTTGCCAAGCGACGAAAACCCAAACAAAAACAGCAGTTCCGTCAGTGACTCATCACAATCAACAGTGAAGAACTCAACAACAGAAGATACCAACGATCATGCCGAAGACACCAAAAGATACGACCGCAAGCAAAACCACCGCACCGCAGCAGCTTGCGCCGTCACCACCACCACCACCAGCGTACCGCCAAGATTCCGCTGTGCCCCTGACCTCGCCACCTTCCCAGACTACCGCAGCAGTCGCCAAACACCAGCGGCACCAACACCAGAGCGCAAAAGCCTTCAACACCAACCACAGCCAGCACCAGAGCGCATAGAACGGAAAAAACAGCGGAGGCCTTCAAACACCAGAAACATCAACGCGAACACCACCAAGGGCAACAGCAACAGCACGCCGCTAACGCTACCGGCACCACCGATGAATCGGCCTAACCTGGAAGCGGCAGGCCCCGAAGCTGACGACAGTCGACTCGCCCTCGGCAAGGCTCTCCTCCGGAAAAGCGGCCAGTTTCTCCTGTATTGCCCCCCCCCAAAAAAAAACACAATGTTCACATTAGCATTTTCGTCGAAACAAACAGGCGATGGGGGGTTGTGTGTACTGCACCAACAGGACGTCTGAAAATCACAGTAACAAAGGAAAGCACAGGGGGGCTGGGTGTAAGCTGGCGTTGGATGCACTTGCACGGGCTTCCTAGATCATAATGTCGAGTCACAAGAGAGTGTGTGGGAGAGAGAGACAACAAAAAATATGGAGAATAACATCGACCGCGCTAACCTGCTGACCACTGAATGGACGTCAGCGGCAGCTGGAAAAATCGAAAAATGAAAAATCAAGGTCCCTGAGAGCTGCGCGTGGGTAACATGAGGGTTTCGGAATAAAATCAAAGTCCCTCAACATCTGACACTCAACATCTGACATTTGCCCAATGGTAGCTGATTGCGGTACAAATCTCAGGGCGTATGAAACGCACAGCACGGATGGACCCCACCTCGCTCACCATCTCTTCCCGCAAGCGTTTCCGCGCGTCCCAGTACGCGTTTCTGCTCTCGGGGAGAGACAGCTCCGGGTAGAGTACCTTGGCCATCACGCACAGCTTGGGGCACCGCACCTTGTCTTTCTTGCATACGTCCTCGAGGACGTCGGCCATGTAGTGGTGGCCCGTGCCTGCGTCGTCGCGTTTTCCGTCGTCGTTGTCGTTGTTGCTCGTGTTATTCGTGCAGCAGGGGGGAAAGGCAGGCACGCACAAACATACAAGAGGACACAAATAACAGGTGTAACGGTAGCGGTGGTACGTCCCCTGCAATGTCGCGGTCTTCGTCGTCGTCGTCGTTGTTGTTGTTAATATTCGTGCCGCAGAGGGAAGGGATGCACACACAGACGCACAAGACAAGATACAAGGGCTGCAGAGCCACTACAACATACCAAGCGCGAACTTGTGCGAGAGATGGCTCGGCAACACACCCGTGAAGCCTCTCCGCACGACGTGCGTGTTTCCCCCCCCTCGTCCCCCCCGGTGTTTACCATCGGGGTTGGGTTTTCGTCGCTTGGCAACGACGTTGTAAAACAAGCCGCCGCCCCCGGTGGTTGCCATCGGGGTTGGGTTTTCGTCGCTTGGCAACGACGTTGTAAAACAAGCCGCCCCCCTCGGTGTTTGCCATCGGGATTGGGTTTTCGTCGCTTGGCAACGACGTTGTGAAACAAGCCACTTAACTTCGTGAACTCGGCAACCAGGTTACCGTTTTTTTTTTACCTCCGGTTTTTTTTTGGCGGTAACCATAATGGTGGTCGAGTAGATCATGTTGTGCGGGGTG